AAAAAAAAAAAAAAAAAAAAAGCAAGCCTCAACTCAGGCTGTGCCCCCAGCCAAGAAGCCTTCCTGGATTCCACAACCTCCAAAGCTCAGTGAGAGGACATTCCTCTACTTTCCTACAGAATCCACAGCACTTACCTCTAACAAGTTAACACTATTTGATACTTAGAGGCACTTACTCCAGGCCAGGCACTGTCCTAGGCACTCTTGATAATCCTCACAACAGCCCTGCGAGGCAGAAGGCATTGGTATGACCCCCCACTTCATCCAAGGAGCAGGTGCAGGCTCAGAGAGGTTAAGCTGTTGCCCGAGGCCCCTCAGCTGGAGGTGGTAGAGCCGCACTTGATTTCAGGTCTGCCTGCCTGCTGCCCACAGATCGCCCTTCAGAGATATACAACTCAGGTTATGTGTCACTGTGCCACCATCACCTGCACGTGCAAACCTTCTGGATCCTGATTACTATTTTGTACAGTTTCTAGCATGCACTAGATCGCCATTCTCTCCCAATATCCATTTGTGTACTCGTGTAATTTATTAAGCACCTACTGTGTGCTAGGTACTGTTCTAGGCAGTGGAGGAAGAGACACACAACTGCTGTCGTCATGCAGCTGACAGCCTTCCCCTCTTCCCCAGTGACAGCAATCCTGACGGGTGAATCTTGTCAGAAATTATTTTCCATCCTCCTTTCCAGCTAAGTATTTCCATATGACTGCACTTCAGGCCAATGGGATGAGGAGGGTGTGTGGGGTCAACTAGTTCCTCAAGGTGTCCTTGAAGAGAAGGGGTGCCCTTTTCCTCTCTTCTTCCTGCTGGTTGGAATGTGGGTGTAAAACCTGGGGCTTGAGTAGCCAGTTTGGATCATGAAGTGAACTTGGGAATCGAGGCTGCCCAAGGTGGAGGAACATTAACAGTGGTTCTCAACTGGAGGTAGCATGATCCCCCCATGTCCCGGGAAACCTGAGGAATGTTTTGTTTTTGTTTTTTGTAGTATCAGTGATTGAACTCAGGACCTTGCACCTGCAAGGCAGGCACAGTGCCACTGAGCTAAATACCTGGCCCAGGCATGTTTTGATGATCACAAGGACTGAGCAGTGTCGCTGATATTTGGTGGCTGGAAGCCATAGGTATTTCTTATGCTGAGAAGTAGGGGACAGTAACTCGAGGAACCCAACATACAATGAGCCTGAGTGGGCATGGTGGTGCATCCCCTTAACCTGAGCACTCTGGGAGGCTGAGGTAGGAGAATAGCAAGTTCAGGCCCAGCCTGGGCAACTTACTGATTTAGTGAGACACCATCTCAAATAACAAAAAAGGTTAGGGATGTAGCTCAGTGTCAAGGCCCTAGTTTCAATCCTCAGATATGGGTGGAGGCAGGAAGAGCCTGAATTTTTTCTTTTGGTACTGGGGATTGAACTCAGGACCTTGCGCTTGTGAGACAGATGCAGCGCCACAGAGCTAAATCCCTGGACCTGGAGCCTGAATTCTTGATGCTGAGGACACTATATCCTGTGCTTCCCACAAGAACAAAAACTGCAGTCTTCTTTTGGGGTTTCTCTTCTTGGCAGCATAAATCGATATTTGGCAACATAAGTGAACGCCTGATGTCAAGCTAGCCGGAACTTCTGCAAAAGGCTGGTCTGCTCGAAGGGGAGCCTGAGACATCCTGTCTGATTGGTCTCTTACCCAAACTCATGAATTTGCTGCTTAGACAAGCTGGAGCCTCAGCCGGGACGGAAGTCACGGCACAAGGGGAGACCTGGGTTTGGCTCCTACCAAGTGAAGGCTCTGAGTTATCCATCAAGTATCTCTGCCCACAGAAACAGCTTCCACACTGGCCTCCTGCGGCCACTCCTGTCCTTTAAAGTCCATTCTCCACCTCAGAGCCAAGGGAGCTTTTAACGTGCTAAATCAGATCACATTCATAAACCATTCATAACCCTAACCCTAATGGCTTTTGCTGCACTCAGCCCCAAGGCAGCCCCTTTCCTGTAGGCCCTGCAGCTCCACGTAGCTCCTGTCAGCTCTGTCTCAGCCACATGGGCTTCTGGCTGATTCTGGAACACACCACACTCATTCTTGCCTCTGCACCTCCTCTTGGTCCCCAAATGGTGTGGCTGGCTCCTTGTTATTCAGAACTCAGCTGGTGTCCTTTTTCAGAGAAGCCACCCCCAAACAGTCCTCAGCCCTTCCAGTGCTTGCTTTGTGCCCCCTAGCTCTGCCTAATACCTAACACTTCTCCTGTCTCTTAAGTATTTACAATTTGGCTTTTTTCTTTTAGTTTTTTGGTATATTTTAAAAATGGATTCTTCCTGAGGGCAGGAACTCTTTTGTTCCCTGTCGTATTCCTAGAATGCAATGTAGGTAGGTTAATGAATGAATGGCTGGCTGGTTGGCTGGCTCCAGAGGCCTTGATTTCCTCTTTGACCAGTGGACATGATGTACTAGATGGTGGTCTAAGGGGCCTTTTGTGGCTGACATCCCTGCTTACCACACCATTCTCTTCCTCCTCACTGTATTTATTTTTCCTGCTCTAGAACCCAAGGCCTTGTGCACACCAGGCTAGTCCTCTACCATGGAGCCACAGCCCAACCTGTGTCCTATCACTCCATCTTCTGAACTTTTCTTCTCATTCAAGTCCCTTCCCACCGCCACCCTAGCTGCCAGAGCACGTAACTGCTTCGCAGCTTGGGCAGTGCTTCCTACAGGGACCCCTCCGGCCGGGTCCTGACCTGACAGCCTTCGGTGGGTGGTCCCTCCCATCTGCCTTCCCTCTTCCTCCCTCTGTGCCCCCCTCAGGCCTCCCAGGCCCTGCCTCTCAGCACCTCCAAACATCACTGCTTTTGGAGAAGAGGGAGAGACGGATAACCTCCGGGGCCATCCAGGCGTAGGTCCCCGCAGCGCTCATTTTGGTGGTCTTGTGCCACTCGCGGGCGAGCCCAAAGTCTGTGATCTTGAGCACCGTGTCTGCGAGGTTGTGGTTCTCGATGGCCTCCAGAATAAGGACTGGAGTGGGGAGGGAAAGAAAGATGGGTTACCGCACCTGTGTGGGGGCAGACATGAGCATCCCAGCCCTCTGCTCTGTCCCCTCAAGTGGCCCCACTCTGTGCTAGCTGTTTCAGCCTGGAACTCCATGCTGCTGAATCCCTGCCCCAGGCTCCAAGAGTGGGGAAGGCTCCTCTCCCAAGTCCTCTGCTCTCCCAACTCCAACCTGAGCTCTGGGCAACTTGATGAATGAACCAATGGCCAAGGCCTTGATTCTCCTTGTTTTAGGCCTTGACTTCCAAACTAGCCTGGATGTGAGCACTGCCAATCATAAGAAAGGAGAAAGTGGTTTTCCTTTTGTCTATCACCCTGGTGGTCTCCTGTAGTCAGGGCCCTGATGCCACCCCTTCCTGTGTCCACACACTGCCCTGTGAATTTGCAGCCCTTTCACTACCAAGGGAGAATGTGTTCCCATCTTTTGACTCTGGGATTGCCAAACAGTTTTCCTTGGCCAAGAATGAGGTGGACATGATGGGGTGTCACTTCCGTGCCTAGCCTGTAAGAGGCTCTGGCACGTCTGCCATCACTGTGACAACATGCCTCAGCTGGTCAGCTAGTCCCAGCAAGATGGAGAGAGTTGGAACAATGCCTACCCAGTGGAGCCCAGCTAAAGTGCTTTACCCTAGCTGGCTTGCAGTGCACTGGCAGTGATAGATGACTGTTATGTTAAAACACTGAGTTTTCAGGACAGTATCTTATGCAGCATCCTTGTGAAAAAGTCTGACTGATATATTCCTCAAGCATACCGAACGGCTCCAGCTCACCTATTGCCTTATTACTAACAATGATCAGTGCCACGGCTAGCATTTGTATGAAGCTAAGTCCTTTACAAGAACGGACTCACAAGCACCTATTTTTACTAGCTAGCTAACAGGAGGCTCAGAGAAGTCACCCGGCTGAAATCACATGGCTAGGGAATGGCAGGTCAAAGACCTGAACTATTTCTGTTGTCAGAGCCCAGTGTATTAGCTGCTGTTCTTTTACTTCTTCTACCATTTCTCCTCTGTTAAACAGGGATGATAACAGAATTTATCTTTAGGGTTATATAGTAAAGATTTATTGCCTGAAACACTAAGGCCTGTAACAGCTACAATAAAATGTGATTACTGTTGGCATGTGATGTTGCCAAGTTGTTCCTTGTGTCTCCTCCACCTTCACCTTTTAATATCCCTGGTTACTTCCCCAGCCATAACAACAATAAGAGGTAACTTCACTGCCATATATGATCAGCAAACTATTCAAAATTACAGCATTGGTCATCTTGTATATTCCTGAAAGCCCAGCCTCAGTGCCAACTCCTCCTGGAAGTCTCCTGTGACTTCCCAGCCTGAGCTCCACCTTCTCAGTCACTCTCCCTTCTTGAGTTTCCATGTCTCCTGTCTGTGGAGAAACAACACTCCTGGTCTTACACTTCATTTCTGCATCTCCTAGGCTGGGCCTACAATAGTCTCCTTTAAAAATCTGTATGTGGCCATGTTCACCACTGCCTAAAACCTAATGGTTTCCACTACATCAAATACCAAGGGTCCTCAGCCTGGCCCCCAAGGTCCTTTGTGGTCTGGCCCCAGCCTGCCTTTCTGATCTTACCTTCTCTGACCTGGTTCAACCCCTGCTGTCATGATCTTGTTGTTTTTTCACAGAGGTACACTCATTCTCACTCAGGACATCTGCCCCACTGCCCTGATAAGGCTGGGGGTCCTTTTGGTTTGGGTCTCTGCTCAAATAATTTTTTTCCTAAACACCTGATCCAAAGAGCTCCATTTGCCATACCCTTAATGTGTTTTAGTTCCTTGTGAGTCCCTGGTACTCTCTGAAGTTCTCATATCTATGTATGTATCTGCCTAACTACCTGTCATCTATTGCTGTTTCCTAGAACCTAAATTCAATAATAGGGGAGTGGATCTTGCTTTGTTCATTTCTGTAATCCTAGAGCTGAGGACAGTAGATGCTTAAGAATTATTGAACCATGCCAAGTGTGGTGGTGCATGCCTGCAATCCCAGTGCTTGGGAGGCTGAGGCAGAAGGACCACTGTGAATTTAAGGCTAGCCTGGACTACATAGTGAGTTCAAGGCCAGCTTGAACTACATAGTGACTCTGTCAAAAAAAAAAAAAAAAAAAAAAAAAAGAGTGAACCAAAGCACCAGAAGAGGAATTCACTGGGAAAGGATGAATGGGAAAACAGTGCCATAAAGCTTCTTTGTCTCAAGCATGGAGTGATCTCATTGTGCCAGGGGAAGCCCTGACTTTAAGAATCCACTCAATCCAGGGATGGTAGCCTGAAATCCTAACACTCCAGAGGCTGAGGCGGGAAGATAGCAAATTTGAGACCAACCTGGCTCTATAGTAAGACCTTATTTCCAAAAGGCGAGAGAGAGAGAGAGAGAGAGAGAGAGAGAGAGAAAGAGAGAGAAAGAGAAAGAAAACTGGGTGCACACCTGTAATCTCAGTACTCTGGGAGGCTGAGGCAGGAGGATCAAAAGTTTGAGCCCAGCCTGGGCAACTTAGTGAGACCCTGTCTCAAAACACAGTGGCACCTTGGTTCACAAAATTCTTTGCACAATTCTGGTCAAAAACTTGATTTGTATGAGAACTAAATCAAATTCAATAGTTTGGTTCAATGTTGACCTTATAGGAAAATTTGATTCCATTCTCATTCAATTCAGTTTGCAACCAGAATCGTGGAAAGAATTAAGTTTGTGAACTGAGGTACCACTGTAAAATAAAAAGGGCCAGAGATGTAGCTCAGTGTAAAGGCTCTGGGTTTAATCCCTGGTACAAAACAAACAACTCCACCTACCCTTTGTCCAGGTTGTGCTGGTGACAGAAAAACTTTGGGCATAGGTCATGCAGTGAATTAACAGGGTTGAGGGAGGATAAAAAAGGAGCCCTACCCTTCAGGAGCATGCTGGTGGTCCTGCCTCCATTCACCAGCACTAAGAGGAGCTGGAGTGTGGGCATCAACGAAGGCAGGGACCACTGACCTGCATCTGTCTTGTCTGGATCCCCTGCCTGGACATGTCCGGCTGAGTGTATGACTGCCTGGCTTGGGAGGTGAGGATGACTCAGTCCCTCTGCTCAAGGGGCTTATGGTTGCAGTTGGTAGAGACATGGCAACAAAACAGTTGGATGGGTTCAAACAAAAGTGGATCTGTAGGCCTGATAGGAATCAGAAGCAGACAAGATGTGAGCATTGAAGGCAAGGGAGAACTACCACAACTGTGGACGTGAGTGTGAACCACATGAAGGCAGGGAATGTGCAGGCCTCAGTTACCCACGTGATCCAGCCTTGTAAATAGCAAGTAAAAGAATAAAGACACAGATTTTTTTAAAAAATGAAGGGAATGAGATGGGATGAGCAAGGTTGGGAAAACTAGGAAGGCAGGACAGTATCTGGCACACAGCACTCCAGAACATCTTAGGAAACAAATGAAAGAAATGTTTAGTTTTTGAGTACTGTCATGGTAGAAACCATGGTTGTCTTAGTCTTGGGTTCCTAATAGGCGTTCAAACAACATCAGCTCACACTCCAAGATGCTCTTTGGTCTAGATGAGTCCTTGGGGGCCTTCCTTTCTACTTGGCCCTGACCAAAACAAACTTTGGAGAACCAAGGACAGGCCAGCAGCCTGGAAGCCACATGTAGAGGGCTGGGGATTTAGCTCAGTGGTTCTGCTGTGTGCCTCACAAGCACAAGGTCCCTAGTTCGATCTATGGTCCAAAAAAAAAAAAAGAAGCTACACGCACTTTCTTTCTCATCTTTTGCAGTTTCCTCAGAGGCCTAGGACTCCACAAAGTGGTTCTCAACTAGAGACAGTTTTGTCCCCCAGGTGATTTATGGCAACGTCTAGAGACATTTTTGGTTTCCCTAGCTGGGGAAAGGGGGTAGGCACAGAACAGGGACACTGCTACACAACCTAAACGGTATTGCACAGTCCTCAGCAATGTCCAGCCACAAATGTCAACAGGGCCAGGGTGGAGAAACCCAAACTCCAGGTAGACTAGGTCCTTTCTGTCTCTCTTAGGAGAAGTCTGGCTTCATGATGGGAGGGTTAGCACCATGAGGGTGGGCACCGTATCTGTCATTTTCACAGCAGGGGATGCAGTGTTCTTGATACATATTTATGGAGTTATTGCGACTGTGTAGCCTGGGAGGCAGTTCAGTCCTTCTACCTTTCTGAGCCTCCCTTTTCACCCCTAATGGTGGCAAGGCCTGCCTTTCTTGGCCCTGACTGTATACAGCTGCCCCTTCTTGGCCCAGGCACAACACCATCTGGTATCTCTGACCCTGTTCCCACCACCTAGGCTTGGCTTCACAGGGTTCTGTGGAAGGAAGTTTTGGGGAGAGGACACCACTTACTGTTGATGGACTTGAGGTCCCGATGGATGATGGGCACCGGGGCATCATTGTGTAGGTAGTTCATGCCCCGGGCCACCTGCACAGCCCAGTTGACCAGCACATGAGGGGGTACCCGGCGACCTGCCAGCACCCTGCTCAAGGCACCACCCCGGGCATACTCCATCACCAGGCAGAGGTGAGGGGGGCTGAGGCAGGCGCCCCGCAGGGCAATGATGTTGGGGTGCTGCAGGGCTCCAAAGAGTCGGGCCTCCTGGCGCACCTGCTCCGCTGTCACTGCCGGGTCCCGTTCAGGGTCCAGCCGGGCGGCTTTGACAGCTACCTCCTCATCGCGCCACAGGGCCCGGTAGACCTTGCCAAAGCCCCCCACACCGATGATCTCTTCCAGCTGCAGCTCGTGGAAAGGGATCTCCTGGGGCAGCGCGAGGCCCGCGGGTGCTGCAGGTGCGGCGGGGGCCACGTAGTTGCTGGGGAAGACGCCCACACGGCCGCTGGGCAGCTGCCCGGTCCACCAGCCCTCATCGCCGGACACCGCACAGTCCTGGGAAAGCACCTGGACGCGGTCGCCCCTCCGCAGGGTCAGCTCCTCGTCGCCGACAGCCTCGTAGTCGAACACCGCGGTCCAGACGGGCCCCGCGGGGGTAGTACCCCATTCCTTGGCCGCCGCCCCCTCCTCCTCCTCCATGGGGGAGGGGCCGGGGGATGCTGGAGGCCGCTTCACGCTGGCTGCCCGAGGGATGCAGAGGACGGGCCCGGGCGGCCAGGATGGGGGGCGGTCCCTGACGGTCCTCGGCAGCTCCTGGGGGCCATGACTGCGGGAGACTCCGCTGGAGCAAGAAAAAAACCTTAAAAAGGTAGGGTCGGCTGTCCCGGAGGGTCGGGTCGGGAATGGGGCAGCAGGTTCACCTGTCCCTATCCCAAATGTCAGGGTGCTAAGAGGGTCTGGCCGTGCGGGGCCCGCAGGTGGGGGCCGAGGGTGAGGGC